AATTTTTAAAATATTTCTGACTGAAATTTGAACCTCAATTCCATTAGCCATGGGGAGAAACTAGTAAGTATAAACACAGTGAAGTTTATTTTTAGGGAGACTGTGATGAGTAGGGTATGCCACTCAGAAAAAGGAAGCTGCTAATTAAAAAATTCTTCTCAGTTGTCATCTCATCTCATTGCTGGTCTAGGTGCCACTATCCTAGCATTAAAAATACAAAGAACTCCGTGTCTCTGAAATGATGCTTTTTCTTTTTCCTTTCTTTTTCTTTTTCTTTCTTTTTTTTAGACAGTCTTGCTCTGCCACCTGGGCTAGAGTGCTGTGGCGTCATCCTAGCTCACAGCAACCTCAAACTCCTGGGCTCAAGGGACCCTCCTGCCTCAGGCTCCCAAGTAGCTGGGACTACAGGCATGTGCCACCATGCCCAGCTAATTTTTCTATTTTTAGTAGAGACAAGGTCTTGCTCTTGGTAAGGCTGATCTCAAACTCCTGACCTCAGGTGATCCTCCCACCTCGGCCTCCAAGAATGTTAGGATTACAGGCTTGAGCCACCATGCCCAGCCTCTCTTCTCTTCTCTCCTCTCCTCTTCTCTCCTCTTCTCTCCTCTTCTCTCCTCTCCTCCCCTCCCCTCCCCTCCCCTCCCTTGCCGTGTTGCCAAGGTTGGTCTTGAACTCTTAGGCTCAAGCAGTCCTCCCACCTCAGCCTCCCAAGTAGCTGAGACTATAGGCACAAGCCACATCCAGCCTGTAACGATGCTTTTTGGTTCACATTTTCATCTCTTTCCTTTAGTCTCTTCTCTGTAGCCTTATATAGACTTACAGTATAATGTGAGGGAATATAATGTATGAACCATCCAATTATATATAATCTTATGTTTTAAGTCAGTGTTGATTTAGAGCATTCCTTGAGGTCACTTCTTTAAGGTGTGCTGAGCTATTCTTTCATTACGACCTTTGTAATAAGGTTTTTCCTTAAAGTTTGACTATCCTTTATGAACATCCATTGCAAGACTGAGCTATTTTCCATAATCACTTTGATAAGGAGGGAAAGTCAAGGTTTTTTTTAGATAGGAAGGTGCATGTACTCTTTTTGGCTTCTGGTCAAAACTATTCTGGGTACCACTTGTTTCAGCAGTTTAGCTGATGTCTTCCCGGTTTTTTGTCAGAAATCCCATTTACTGGCTACTCTCTTGTTTTGGACATTCAGGCCCGTCCTTGGTTTCTCTTAGTTGGGGTACCCATCTCTGTTTATAATTTCTCATTTGTTTTCCTGTGCTCCAGTTTTCACGTGGTCTTCCTATTTCCTTTCTGCTTTTAAAATTCTAACATGCTGTTCCCTACACCCCTTCATTCTTGTTCAGCTCCTGGCTTTTCTCTTTCCTTATTCTCTGAAGCTACAATTGTTTAACTAAAAAAGTCTTGTAAGGACGGGCGGGGTGGCTCACACCTGTAATCCTAGCACTCTGGGATGCCGAGGCGAGAGGATTGCTTGAGCACAGGAGTTCGCGACCAGCCTGAGCAAGAGCCAGACTCCATCTCTGCTAAAAATAGAAAAATTAGCTAGGCGTGCTGGTGTGTGCCTGCAGTCCCAGTTACTTGGGAGGCTGAGACAGGAGAATCACTTGGGCCCGGGAGTTTGAGGTTGCTGTGAGCTAGGCTGACACCACAGCACTCTAGCCTGGGTGACAGCTAGAGTGTCTTAAAAAAAATAAAAACATAAATGAATAAAAATACTTACCAGTATTTGTGGATTCTGGATTTAAAGATACACTTGTTTTAGTCAACTTTAATTATCTGAGTATGGTCTACTTATTTATTAATTATTGAGAGCCAGTTTCTAAACACAAACATCCCTGGACCCTCTTTGCTGTATTGATTCATGGATAAAGGCAGCAAAAACTCTTACTAACCCAAACAAAGCATAATTAGGAAGTTAAAATCCATTATGGGAAAAAATACACTATAAAACTAAATAGAAGTTATTTTTAATTCTCTGGTGAATCTGTTTGTGTCATTGCTCTGTCCTAATAGTATGGAATTGCAGAGCCTTGACTATAATTTAAACCATTCTCCCAAAAAGCTAGATATTTCACTTTATTGACAACGCTTGAAGGGGAAAGTGACCAGACTGAAGCCAATCTTTCTAGCTCAAGTGTGGCTAAAGAGGAAAACCAGGAATAGAATGCTGCTCTTCTGACCCTAAGTTCAGACATGTGATCTGACTCAGAAATGTGAAGCCTCTGTAGAGAATTTGGCACTGCTGTGCTGTGTTTACTGTTCTCCACCGTTGCCATAGGTGTCTTTTCACCTTACTTTCCATATTGTGTCTTTCTGAAAGGAGCCCTCCGTGTGTGCAGCATCATGGTTCCCCAGGAGTGGACTTACCAGTTACCATACCAGAAGTTTCTTCAGTGTCTGGTCAGATCAGAGGAGGTAATAACTGGCCTGAGCTTTATCTCTTTTTCTTTGCTCCCTTCTAATGGAAACCAGGTATAAACATATTACCTTCGTGATTTGTGGCAGGTTTTAGAAACTTGCCCTTTCACTCTCTCTATGCTGCTCTTTCATACTCTGATTTCTGTTCTTTAGCTAAATATTCATTAAGTGAGACCTCACAGAGGTAGGCATTGTGCCGTAGTGGATGAGCACAGGCTTTGGAACCAAACCAGTCTAGATTCCAGCTCCATCTCCACCTTTTCTGATTAGCAGTTTAGCAGGTTTATAATGCCTGTGAGTCTGTTTTCTTATCTACAAAATCAGGACAATAGCACTGGGAAGTTGTGAGTAGGCCCTCATAAGTCACACATCTCACTCTTCTCCAAAAAGCCATACTAAAAATATTTGACAACCAATATATCAGTGTGATAGGATTATAGAGTTCATTTTTATGATTCAATAAATGCTCATCTTGTATTGCATTTCTGGACAGTTTCTCTTTATCACATAAACCACCCACAAAACTTCCCAAATATTGACCAAAAAGAAAAAAAACTTGAAACACTGTGATCAGATTGCTCCCTGCCTCAATAATAGCCTTGCTGTGAGTTAGGAGACGCTGGGCACTTATGGATGCTGCATCTAACCACCAGCTCTTTTGCTTTTAGAGCCCAGAGGCTCATCAGGACTTGTAAACAGCAGACAGAAGAGCTATGACCACTCAAGGTAACGACCTTGTGCAGTCTCTTCTTCAGAAGCAGGTGGATATCCTAGCATTGCTTCTGCTTAAAAGAGCCTCTAAGAGCATGTACCCATCTTTAAGGAGCAGAGAAGGAGAGCCCTGATTCTTTCTTGTTCTTATCTCCTGAAGCTTTTGAGTAACACTTGAACTAAGGGCTAAAGCTGATGTTTAAGAGTGTTCACATTGTGGACAAGAAAGGAGTGCCCTCAAATTCACCTCACCCTTAGTGTCAAAAGAGAAGGCAGGAAAGTCAAGCCCAGTGTGCATCTCAGTAATTTGTTCTTAGGCTCATCTATATCTCTGCTCCCAATCACCCCAGAGCAGTGTCTGAAAAATCACATTTCCTTTGTGAGATGTTTTCTCTGAGATTAAAAATTGAGCAGACTGTCGTTACCACAGGGTACCTCTGACCACATTGATTTTCAACTAGTACTGAAAGCGGCATGCTAACCGGAGTGGTATATTTCCTGCGATGCCCATACCTTTCAACATTATGTCTGTAGCTATAAAACTGATATGAAAACCATCATGTTGTCTTTTTACATCTGATTTTTTTCTTTTAAGGACATCTCATTTTCTTTTAAGGATTAGAGCCCAGGTTATCTTGTAAAAAGGTAGTGATTTGTGTTTGTTTGGGGAGGTAATTTGGTTTTCCTCTACAGGCACTACCATGGGAGCGGCATTGCTGGCGGGCTGGTGAAGGGGGCTTTGTCTGTTGCTGCCTCTGCATACAAGGCCCTGTTTGCTGGGCCACCAGTCACTGCACAGGTCAGTGTGTGTTTTATTTTCCTGAACCTCAACTCCATGTCACCAGTGAAAATGGTGGCTTCTGACTGGGTTGGAGAGTAACATGGCATTGTGGAAGGAACATGGACTTTAGATTTAGTCTTTGGTTAACACACAGCTCTGCCACTTTCTACGTATGTGACTTTAGCCAAGCTATTTAAGGGAGGAAAGGAGAAGGATCTAATATTTTTAATACTTTCAAGAGAAGCTATTCCAGGTGCTAGCACTACAGGATGAATAAAACAACAATTTCTGCCCAAAGACTATGGGAAACAAGTGAGATACACAAACATTTACAGTACAGGGAAAGATACTATGCTGGTGCTGTCAGAAAGATGGGACCCCTCAGCCTGGTGGGACTAAGGAAGGCTTCCTGATACATGATACCTGAACTGAGTCCTAAAGGACAAAGTAAGTGTTCCCCAGGGAAGATGGATAGAAAGGGCATTGTAGGCTGGGTGGCTTACGCCTTTTAATCCTAGCACTTTGGAAGGCCAAAGTGGGAGGATCACTTGAGGCCAGGAGTTTGAGACCAGCCTAGGCAATAATGAGACCCTGTCTCTACAAAAAAATCTTTTAAAAAATTAGCCAGGCATGGTGGCGTGCACCTGTAGTCCTAGCTACTGGGGAGGCTGAGGCAGGAGGATCGCTTGACCCTAGGAGTTGGAGGCTCAGTGAGCAGTGAGCTGTGGTGATGCCACTGCACTCTAACCAGAGTGACAGAGCAAGATCCTATCTCAAAACAAACAAACAAACAAAAAGGTATTGTAGACAGAGTAGCCAGTAAAAAGACTTGGGAATGTCAGCATGAAGGGTGAATCTGGCTGAGGAAAGGAACAGGAAGAGAAAACCAAATATGTAGGCACGATGCTGTGTTAAGGGGTTTGGATTTTATTTTAAGGCTAATGGGAGGAGCCAGGGAAAGGTTTTAAGGAAGTGATTAGCATGATCAGATTTGTTCTTAGTAAGATCTCTGCTACAGTGTGGAGGCTGGTGGAGCCAGTAAAGAAATCTATGGAGTCCACATATAGGTTGAAAAGAAGGATAGAAGAGATAAGAGATAGAAATGGCAGAACTTGGAGACCATGACGAAGTGGCTAAAAAGAAGTCAAGGATAAATCCCAAGTTTCTGGCTTAGGCAATTGATAGTACCATTCATAAAAAGAAGACGTGCAGGGAAAGGATATTTGAGTAGGAAGAGAAGAAAATTAGTTCACTTTTGGATAATGTTGAGTTTGAGGCACATCC